ACGGAAAAGCGCACGGAATGAGACTTTAATTATAATAATAATTAATAATAATAATAAAGTAGGACAGTCCAAAGTAGACTATAAGGAAACAGAGACCCCGGGAAGTTTTGTCGTTGTGTTTAGTTTATATATATTTTTTTTGAATTTTTTGGTTGTTGTTTTATTTTGGTTATTTTTTTTCACCTCTCCTGGCTATTTATTTGTTTGGTATGAATAGATGTTTTAAATAATATGAACCGGACCTTCAAGAGCCTTAAATAGTTTGTTTCTTGGATAATTTATTATTATCATGTGAACTGTACTCACAGGGGGGAAAGATTATTTTGTGAGGCCAAGCGACCTGCTCAGAGTCTATTTTTCTACATATCCCTCGCCCTGACTTTCAGAAAGCAAAACTCTGCACTCCGCATTCCTCGTTTGCCACGCGCCTGCTTTTCGGCAAGTGTAAACTAAAACATGCTTCATGGGGGTCCACAAATTATATTTTTATACACAGAATTGTAAATTAGATTTTTTGAGAGATCAATACTTAACTGAATTACATTTCATTTTTGAAATAGTGTAAAATATGAAAATATATTATTTTAATTTAACTAGTTTCCAGTGTAACAGCCACCTCCTGTATGTCTTCATGGGTTAATATTTGCTCCATCATCACCATTTTGGCCGCATTCTTGGAAGTCAAGACTGTTACACACACACACACACACACACACACACACACACACATACTTTTTTTTTGGACAAACTGGAAGAACTCTGTTATTTTTAACTTCAAAGAATTTATTAGAAAATAATATTTTTTAAAAGCGCACATAGTGATGAGCCCACGAGAATGGAGCCTGTAGTTTGTACAGAGAAAAACAAAGGATGTTTTTGCATTAATAAATTGAGAAATAACTGCTGTAAATTTACTAAAATGTATTTTTGAATATTTTGTAATAGTTTTATAGAAATAAAATGTGCCACGCACAGACTGGTTAGTATATAATAACTAAGAATCCCCGTCGCAGCCCCATTTTCATTTCTGTTTCGGCTTCTTTGTTTGGGAACCCTAGCGCTGACAGGAGTGCCCAGCATTATATTTAGATGTGTTGCTTATACTGTGAATTCAGATCAGCTTAAGTAGGTAACCAAACCGACTTGTTTATTTTCATCCCTGGAGAAACCTCAGCTCTGTTAGTATTTGTTGTGTGAGCGTCTCTGTGCCTCCACCAGCTGAGGGGCCCGGGTGTGGGTACCGTTCTTCTCCCACACCCCCCAGCCCTTAATTAGCGTAGCCCAGCGCGAAGGCCCGGCCGAGGAGGCCTGCGGGCACCCACCGGGACTCTCTCCCCATGCTCCATGTGGTTGCTGGCAGACCTCATACCCTCCACCTGGTTGCCCCACGTTGGTGTGCCTGGTCCTCTGGCTTCAAAGGGAGGAGGCCCTTAGCTGCTTTGTGAAGTCCTGGGGTACCCTTTCCAGATGGGTCCCCAGGGAGATGGCCAAGTGTTGATCTTCTCTGAACCCCCCCGGGACCCTCGTGGCAAACCCACTGAAGAGGGCACATTCTCCACCTGCTCTCAGGGGGCCCCATCTTCCCTCCTCCCCAGTCACCGCTGCTAGTCTCAGGGCTGCCTGGGTCCTCGGGCCACGTTGGTGTTATCGAGTCCAAGCCGTCTGTCTGGAGTGGTTATTTGGTTTGGATTTTCATCCCTAGGGCATGGTCCTACTTTAGTGGGCACACTGTGGTTGGCCTCCTACGTTGGCTGGGTCTGGGGGAAGAAGTCCTCCATGTTTGACATTGTGTTATAGACTCAGCTGAGAGGGCCTCAGCCCTTGGCTGTCACTCTCAGTGCTTTGGCTTATCAAAGGCTACTGTCCTGATGTGTGCTTTGGGCCAAGTGTCCAAGCAGGTTCGGCTTTGGAAGGATGGCTGTGTGCACATCGGGGCTCTTAGCAACTTAAGCCTGTCTGAAGGCTGGTTTGGGTTTGGGGAGCAGAAGGGAGCCTGACGGCCTCAGGCGGGCCTCAGTCCCACCTGGGCGGGGGCTGGAGATGCTGCGCCTAAGGCTAGGCCTGTGGTGGCGTCTTCAGCCAGAAACACCGGGCCCTGAGGGGCTTCTGTGCAGAGGGTCCGGCGTGGTGTGCCTTTTCCAGGAGGCTGTGGGCCAGGGGGCCAGGCATGCACCCTGGAACTTGCCCTCTGCCTGCTTTCAAGGGGCCAGGCCCTTCAGGCAGGAGTGATCCTTGGTTTTTCTCTGTCAAAGACTTTTCTTTGGTCTTCTAGGTAGTTAGCAGGTGCAAGGTTTGCAATCTCTGGTGGAATTTGGTGGTTTCTGTTGTGTTGACCGTTCCGTTCTGAGTGTAAGCCCTGGCACCCCAATAGCTTTAGCTGTGCTGATTGACAGACTAGTTAGCGGTCAGCCTGATCGGCCGAAGACAGCATTGGAGGGTTGGCCAGGCCCCAAGGGAACCACCCGTCGGTGACCCCCTGCGTGGGGGCACCGCGGCCCTGAGCAACACCCCCCCCCGAGTCAGGCGAGGTGGCAGCCCCCTCTCACTGCTCCCCCGCCCTCCCTGTTCCACGTCCGCCGCCCCTTGCCCAACTTTACATTCAGAATCCTCTCTCTCATGGCCAAAAAAAGGGAGCCACGCCGTAGAGCAACCCAACCCAGGGCATCAGGATGTGCAGTCCGCTCCCAGCAGACGAGGTGTCCACTCCACCTTCAGGGTGGACGGTGTGAAGAGTTTGTGCGAAGTGTCCGCGCGGTGTTGCCGCCAGCCTCCCTCGTGACTAAATGCATATCTATTCCTGTCAAAAGCGTGTATCACAATGTACTTGAAACTGTTATCTTTGTGCTCTATTGTTTGAATAATTAAAGAAGTTACAGAGACTTCCGGCCATGTCTATTCTGTGGCAGAATGCCTGCCCTCGGCGATCCTCACCTTCTTCCGCGCGGGGTTGTGTGGCAATGTGAAAGACAAAGTCTCCGGGGGCACCGGCCGCGCGGGCCTCGGTGGCAGGGTGCAACCGGGCTGTGGGGGGCTCCCCCGCATGCTGAAGCATGGGGCTGGGACATTCGGTGCAGCCGTGCTGAGGGGGGACAAGGCGGCGCTGTCCAGTGCTGGTGGAGTCCCTCGGCTGCAGGCATCACACCCACACGGCAAACATTGGCCAGACCTGCGAAGAATACCAGCCGGTTGCAAGATTTGGCAAGAAAGTGGCAACGCGCCCAGGGTGAGCACGCGCCCGGAGTGAGCCGGCTGCAGGGCTGGCGCGGGGTGAGCCCTCCGACCGCGTTCTCAGTTCTCTGATGACCCATCCTTCCGAAAGGACACGGTACTCAGAGGGGTTGGGAGGCCCTGGGAGGTGGACTTTGAAATGGCTTCTCATGAACAAGTCACCCAACACATGGTTTTCCGCAGGTGCTCTGCTGGGTGTACGTACTCGGACCGGGGTTGGCAAATGACAGCCCTGAGAACAACGGGGCCCTAGGCCTGTTTTTATACAGCCTGCGAGCTGAGATCGGTTTTTACATAAATTTTTTTTAATGGTCGAAAACAAAAAAAAAACTAAATAAGATTTCATGACAGGTAAAAATTATATGAAGTCCAGACTTCAGTGTCCATCAATAAAATTCTCTTGGAACGCCCACCCCCCCCCCACCAATTCCTTCACACACTGTCGGGGGGAGACTTGGGGCACAGAAGTTGCATCAGGAACCACGTGGCCCACAGAGCCTGACGTATTTACTCGCTGGCTCCTTACAGAGGAAGTTTGCCACCCGTGGTCTAGAATGGGAAAACCTAGGCTGTGGCGAAACGGAGCCCTGCAGTGGGGGCAGGAGGCCGGAGCCGGAACAGAGCTGTGTGCACGCCAACAAAGCACGTTTTTCTGTTGGGATCCAGAGGCTCTCCCCGCTCAATTCTGCTCCTTACTCGGAGCTGTAGAGAGGGTGACAGACCCAGGAAGAGCCCCTTGGACCTGGCGGTGTAACAGGCATAGCCGAGTGCTGAGCAGGTGTGCGCTAACCTGGAAACGCATGATCTGCAACACAAGGTGGGGGCCGGGACCAAGAGCAGAGGAAGATGGGCAATGTTTGTCTCCGGGCTCTGTGAAAATAGCCCCGAGGTGAGAAAATAGGAAGTCTGGATTTGGAGATAATCTCCTTTCCTTTCTTTGGCTGAGTTAGATTTTCTCCAATTAAGAAGAAATCATAGGAATTCCCTAAGTTTTACCCTATAAGCAAGCTCTGGGGCCTGTTCCGTGAGACACGGAAGTGGAAGATCACCTTTTCAATGCGTATCTGTGGTTTTCGCGACGAGGGCCGCTGTGTTCCCGGGGGGTGGGGGGAGCTGGTGTAAGTAAGGGGGTTGAAAAACCTGAAGACTGAAGATAAATTAGAACAGATATTATGCCCAGAATCCAAGGAAACCATTCCCCTGAACCACAGAACTTGGTTTCTGGATGTCGATTTATCCCAGGTCAGGGCCTAAGTGTTCGCTTCCAGGAGAAACGGACGCCCTCTCCCCTGGATGGCACCCCTCATCTCCGCCGGGGAGTTCCTTCCTCCACTCCCCAGGAGAGGTCAAGGACTCCCTTTGGGAACCCTGCCACTTACTGCCAGGCAGAAAAACCAGCCCCATGTCTGAAAGGAGCCTCTGCTCATGGGTCCCTGCGTCTGCCACCCTGCCGCCCATGTCCTCAGAGTCCTGGCACACACCCCTGCAGCCAGACTGTGGCCACGCTCCGCGCTCAGCGCTGCGCCACCCAACCGGCCAAGCCCAGCCAAGCCAGAGCCTTGGCAGAGAAGCCGGGTGGGTGGGAAGAGGCTGTGGGAACCTGATATTTGGTGTTTTGGAAAGAGCGTCAGCATCAACAGGAGAGGACCAAGCGCCCTCGGACCTGCCCGCTCAACTCACGGTGTATTCCTGATGCTGCCCTTGGGACTTGGTGATGCATGCGGGAATGCACAGTCACCGCTCCGAGCCTGGGGCTCTGAGGGTCTGAGGCCAGCCCTGGCCCAGCCCCCAGCCCCCAGCCCCCTGCTCTGTGTAGGGCCCTTCGGCCCTCCCGGGCCTCTGCGGCTGGCCTCCCTCCCGCGGCTGCAGAGCCGCAGCCCCGCCAGCACCCAGCACCCGGCGCCCAGCATCCAGCGCCCAGCACCCAGCCCCCCCCTCCACTGCTGGCTGTGCGCCCAGCCCTCCCCGCGGCGGGTTTCCAGCCCCGCAGCCCGCCACTCCGCGGTCCGCGCCGCCGGCCTGGGGAAGCTCCCCGGGGCAGGCGGCTCCACCCCTCGCGGGCAGTGCCCCTGGCAGCCTCCCGCGCCCCCGGCGCTGCCCCTGGTCGTGTCAGGTTGAGTCTAAGAGGAGGCCGGGAGCAGAGGGGGTCGGGGAGGTAGGGGGTGCTAGGCCAGCGCGGCGCGCTGCCTGGGGTGCCGGCCCTTCAAGGTCCCCCAAGTGCAGCCAGCATCAGCGCGCTGCGGCCGGGCTGGAAGAAGCTGCCCTGAGTGGAGTCCGAGCGCCCTCTGCTGGTCGCCGTGCGGGGAGGTGGGCGCTGGCATCTGCGCGGGCGGCCGGGCGGCCGGTGACCGCCAGCCGGGGGTTCATCAGAACAAATCCCCACGTGTCCTCTAACAGAGAGCGAGGGACTGCAGGCCAGGCCCCAGAGAGGAGGGTCAAGGAGACGTGAGGGCTCCGGTTGGAGTGGGCGGCGCGGGCCGTCCCGTGTAGTCTGGGCGGCCTGCCCCCATCCCGCCCTCCGTGACCCAAATTAAAGCTCAGCCGTCCCAGCCACCCCAGCGGATCGGCCTGGGTCGTGGGTCGGCGCTCTCCAGCGGGACTTTATTCTTGGACACCCGCGGTCAGAAGGGAGGACCAAAGAGGACTTCTGTGTTGGGGCCCAGGAAGGCAGCTACTTCTCTGCCGGGTGCGGGAGCAACAGTTGCCCCCACTCTGTCTTAAGTGAGGTCGAGCGCCCCCCTTTCTGGGCACCAGGCCCTGCAGAGGGAGGGGCGGCTACAGCCATTTCCAGAGCTGAGAGGTTGGGCAGGCCCTGCTGCCAGCGGTCTGGGCGCCTGGAAGGGGCAGGCTGCTGGGTGTGTGGGGCCTTGCTGGGTTGCACAGCCGGGACCAGGCCCCTGGCCCCCACAGCCCTCGGCTTCCCTCCCTGGACACAGCTTCGCACGCCTTGGGGTAAGTGGGCGACCTGAGGGGAGGTTTACAGGAAGGACGGGGCCACACAGGGGGACAGTGGTCGTAGGGGCCCCTCTGAGAAGCCCCAGGGCACCGTAGCTAGGCTCCTCCTCTGTGTGGACTCAGCCTCACCGAGAGGGAGCCAGGGACTGGGGACCACTGCGGCCCTACCACTGACCGCCCTTGGGTTTGGGAGGGCCGTGGACACTGCTGGGCCTCCGCCCGCGCACAGGGAGGTGAGGCGGCAGGCCCATGGGCCCTTGCAACCCAGAAATGCTCCCGCTCGAAGGCCAGCCGGTTGCTACGGCCGATGGGCTCCACCTGGATCCAGGTGAGGCTGAACAAGTCTGTCTACACCCAGAGAAAACAGACAACATTGTGGAGATGAAAGTACTCGGATTCTCTGAACAGACCCTCAAGGTCGCCCTCAGTGGGGTCGCTGCCATCGGACACCGGCTGTGGCCACGCCGGGGTGGCCACCGCGGGCAGACGCAGAACAACAAGGTGACGAAGCGCGACTTCCTTCTAGGGTGACCCACGCGGAGGGGACCGTGCGACCTCAACAGGAAAGAGAAGGCGGCCTTCCGCCAGCACGGGTGTCCTGCCCGGCTCAGTCGGGGACCGGTGGGGCTGTAAGGAAGTGCCCTCCCGCTGCAGTCCAGGGCCGGCGGGGGCTTGAGCAGGGTTGGATGCTGGATGCGGTGTGGCTGGGGACGGAGGGCAGAGCTGCGGTCAGAACTCTCTCGCTCTCCAGGCTGCTTCCTCCCAGAAAGCACTTTCCTCCCGGGTGGCCCCGATTAGAGCCCAGGGGTCACTTCAATGCGGATCCAAGACCACGGCAATTCTCTGGGCGGCCTCCAGGGCTGGGGTCAGGAAAAGCGTCCCCTTCAAGGTGTTCTCGCTTTTAAGGAAGAAGTTTCAGGAACAACAAAACATCTAATAGACCAGCGCTCATGAGATGTCCAGAACCTTCCGTGCTGGAGTTGGCTGTAACTCTGCGCTACGCCTGACCTCATCTGAACCCCACTGTGAGAAGCACGTCCCTGGAGCGCAGCCCCCTCCTTCCCACCCGCATGAACTCTGACATCTGCCACGGACTGATTTCGGGGCTTGCCTACGGGTTTGGGGAGCAGCTAGGGTCACTGCTCTGCATCCCCCCCCCGGAGCCATATCGGGAGTGAGAGAAGGAAGCCGGAGGGCGCCTCCTCCGGGGGCACCAAGCAGTGCGCCCCTGTCCTCGTGGGGCGGCCCGGAGGACCTACCCCTCCTTCCCATCTCCGTCTAGCTCCTGGTGAAGACCCCTGGTGCGCACCCCTGTGAGAGGCCCGGGCTGTCCCACGGACCCCTCGCACCCCGCGCCCCACACCAGCTCTTCCTTCCTTCCCTCATGGGAATTCCCCTTCTCCCCCAGGCCGAGACCGGAGGGGCAAGGAGGAGGTGAGCCCCCAGTACGGGGCCAGGACCAACACGGCCCCGCGACGAGCCCCAGCCCGCGTTCTGCCATTGAGAACAAGCCAGTGCAGCGCCCCAAGCCAGGACGCCCCGCACGCCGGCCCCCGGACACCTGCAGAGGCCGGAGCTGCCTCCCCAGCTGGAGCGCTGAGCTATTTATAGTCAGTGCTCCCGTGTTGGTCCCAAAGACTAGGTGTTCAGTCAAAAAAGAGCCTTTTTAGGTCA